GGGACTTCACGCCCATATATGCGCGGGTTGTGAATGGTGGGCGTGGCTCACCCTCTCGGGGAAGACGTCATTGGCCGCGGGGAAGATGTGGGCCATGTAGGGACTGTCCTTGATGTCCTCGTCATCACAGATCACATGGACGGCGTAGTCGCCGGGCTCAGTCGGCCAATAGCGAACATCGCAGGAACCGTCCCCCTTGTCGTCGCACTCGATCTTCGCCTGCGAAGGGCCCTCGATGGAGAATCCTGCGCGACCGGACCATAGTGAAGAGTGTAGGGTCAGCTTAGACTGAAGTCAAGTCATACACAAGCTTTTCAACATAAAAACCCTGCACTGAAATGGTGTCAGATACGGTTAACCCTTTCAGCGCTATAGGCAACCATAGTTGCCCAATGATGTAAAATATTAAAATCAGATGCTGCTAAAAACCTATCATGTGGCAATTTGTTTAAAAGAGCTCCCGCAGGGGAGCTCTTTTAAACAAGTTGCCACATGATAGGTTTTTAACAGCTCAGGATAATGATATTTTTAATTCCTTGAAAATTTTTTCAGCGCTTAAAGGGTTCATGTCAGTAACTTACCAAAAACACAAAGACTACGACTACAGCAGCATTGTACTTGTATTTGCAACTCCTTGAAATAGACAAAGATTGGTACCTGTCACTAGCTACTGAGTGTAATGTGCAGCCATACGCCTTTTTTTTCTTTCAACTGCCCAACTAAATAGCAAGTGAATGCAAAAGGGCCAGAATTGAGGCATTTTATTGATTTGGGGGAACTAAAGCCCTTGTGTTCGCTTACAAGCCTGAGGAGCCCTCGACTGCATCATAAACGCTTCACTTGCAGGAGAACCCAGAGGGGGAATCCTGAAGCAAGAGCCAAACAGCTTCACTTCAATTACAACTTCACATGAAACCTAAAAAAATTTAACCGAACAAACACCGCGTAAAACTGTGTTCCAGAAGTCCTATAATCCTACGGAAGCCAGCTGGAATTAAATTACGTAGAAAGTGGATAGCTACCCATTGAAAACAGACCTCGCGAGTACACTGTGGAATGCATTATAGCAAAGAAAAAAAAATCCTAATTTCCCCTGTCTATACATTGAGGTGTTCACACGTAATTCTTTTGCGTAGACAGACGATGCAGGCTGGCCTTTAACAGGGTGGTCTAGAGCAGCGGGGTGCTAGTCTGCCACACAGACATTCTTGACAGAATCTGCAAACAATTATGTGACAGGATGGGGCGAAGACCAGGGCCTTTAAAAGGGAGTGAGGGCCGGTTTTACCCCACCCCACCCTCACACGAGTCACACGAGGGGCTTCAGCACTGAGCTTCTGTTCTCACTCCTGTTGCGTAGGCAGCTGTTTTTTCACAGCAGTGTTTTCAGTCCCAGTACACGTCAGACACAAACAATACAAGGCCTGTGTGTCTCCGTTCTCTCACAGGACCGTGTTGAAATAGTGTCTCGCCACACCTGAAACATCTGAGCACCTACAGATGTCCTTCACGGACATCCTTCAGCGCGGTCCGTAATTATTCGGTCGCAGTAAATAAAAAGCTTCAATCCCCACATGGCTTCCATTTGGATGTGGATGTAAATAGCCTGACAGTAAAGTCGACGATCCCCACTCGAACCATTCTTCCAAATCTAGACTGCTAGGGTACATGGCCAAGAAGCATTAAATAAATAACTGTTCAAGTGCTTATGGGCTGCATAGTACACGAATAAGCCCAAGTTGGTCTGACGCATTGTTTCCGCTAACCTGTGCTACTTACCCAGCGTCCCCACCTCTGTGCCGATGGCTTCAACCACGAAATCAGCTGACTTCCCCACCATCCCCGTCTCCAGGCCAGGACCCCAGGCTCGCACCTTCTGAAGCCCCGCCTCCTCACTCACCTCCACCTCAAAGGGGCTGTGGGTACATTCACACACACACACACACACACACACCTTAATCCCTATGGCTATAATTCCCATTGACATAGTACTTCAAGTGAGGAGTGTGGTCGAGACTTCCAAGACAAAGGAGAGATACATGATAAGATTCAGAGATTCAGTGGGGACAACTTTGAGATTTATGTCTCAAGAATTACATTAGGAGCAAATAAATGTAATCATGCCCATCATTTAACGAGGTCAAAAGCACATGTGGACCTCAGCGAGCACCTACTCAGGCTTAAAGGGTCATCTCTGGCCAGGGTACCACTTAGCTGTACCTAGGGTACACTTGGATGTATCCCAGCATACCTTGCTTCCTGGCATGTCCATTGAATGCTGGGGTGATGGTGGGTACCTTGGTTCAAGCGAGGTTTGTCGAAACAAACCTGGCTCTCGTACTTTTTTCGATGGAACTAGGGTACGTTTCGACAAACCTCCCTTGAACTGAGGTACTTTTCGATATATCGAACTGTGCCCTGGGTATACTTTGATGGTACCCAGGTCAAAGATGACCTTATTTGCTCTGTTAAGATTACACCTCATAGAAAGGCTGGGATTTCACGGTATCCTTCACAGTGGATGGCACATGAGAAGGCGGGCGTGTTAGAGGGGTAGTGTCCATTCCAGTGTTATTTCAGAAGAATGTTGAAGTATCTGTGCCCGATTCTTCTGTTTGAGGTGGTACAGCCCATTTCTTCAACACCCCCATAGAATGGACGACAGTGGTAGAGTCCTCCGCAGCCTCCTCACCTGCGCGGAATGGTATGCCCTCCCCAGGTGATGATGACGAGGTATTTCCCGGCTACAACGGGGTAATAATCGCACTCGTACACCCCGTCTGCAACGTCCCGGACCCTCACCGGCTCCTCCCCTCCTGAGACCGCAACAATAATGCGGTTAGCGACAAACAAACACGCCATCACAATGGCCTTCCATGATGGATTAAGGCTGTTTTATACCTGTAAGACGCGTCAGTCGACAGTGTCTCCTGACCAAAGTAATGTCAAAGAGACAGAAAAAGTGCCAACGGTGTCCTGTGCCTGCCAAATATTTATAGTGTTGCAGACACTGTTGTTGGTTGTCTTATAACTTTATCAGCTGGATGGACCGAGGGTTTAGAGGTTGTCACGGATATTGAGCGTTCGTACAGTATCATGGTTTTTTATGGTTAAAAACAAATACGTAGCTATAATTACCATGGAAATAACAGTTTGCGCGGCTGATGTTGCCCAACACTCAGTTTAAGCATAGAAGAATTTGTGTAGTGCAACGCTTTTCTTAAGACTTCCGTCGACTTACATCATACAAGTATAAAACAAGCCTCACACACAGTACAATAAAGTCCAGGGGTCAGTTAGTTCAAGTCCTGCCATGTGTCTCTTCTCAGCTAGCTGATTTCACTAATTAGTTCACCTCCTGGGAAGAATAATAATGATAATTAGGAAAATTATAATAGGCCCACTGTAGAGCAATTTTACTTAGAGAAGAGGTGCAGGACCAAATATGTAACCATCAAATGAACAGAAGTAAATGTCTGGACGCTGCATTTTCTGCGCCACATGGTAAATGTTCAGCTGAAGCAAACTCTAACACAGAACATATGACTACAACTGGGACCATATGTACTGCGAGAGTTGATTTATCACTGAATATTTCACGGCGCATAGGTTTATTCATGCAATGTTTTCACCGGCAATGTCTTTGTCAGACTAACACCCATGAGAAAGAAGCATTAGTAATATATTTTAAAAATTCACTACACAGACATCTTTTTCTCTTTGATATTCACACTACATGAAAGACCACACAGAAAAAAAATGTTTTAGACTTGATACAAGACTAAAAGGACTCATATTACGGAAAATATGTTCTCACAGTTCATTCCACCAGAACATAAGTCACGAGTGTATCTAACATTCCAGAGAAGGTGGACTTTGAATACCCCCAGTTTAGCCATTATACCCTGTATCTTTCAAACTTCAGCATTTGAAACCAGCAGTTTGAAATTCCTGATGTTTCCTGTGTCATAAACAGACCTGCTCTGCAAAGTTCATACCCACCAGCTCTGTCTGTGTGCCCCTCCCACAGCCTCGCTCACCCTTCTAACCTTTTCATCTCTCTCTCTCTCTCTCGCCACTAACACTACTTTGGACTCATTTGGGTCTGTTAGCCAGTAACACAGAGCAGAGTTTGTCACCATTGTGGGGATGGCCAATCAAAAAACAAGTTCTTTAAAGTGGGTGAGAATTGCAGGCAGCAAATGGTCTAGAAATTATGGATTTTTATAAATTTTTCATTTACAGGTTTATAATACTCCTTACAGGACATCTAAAAATGTAATAACTTTAAAAAAAAAGCATTATATGAGACCTTTAACATAATATTCTCTATGAGAGGGGGGAAAAAAACAATGTCTTATTTTAAGTTCCCGTTTGGTTAACAAGTGAATTTTTCCCTCCCCACTGGAAAATCCTGACATGGGGCAAACTGGTTCACGCCGTTATCAATATGCTCGCTTTATTTAAAAGAAAAGAAAGCAAGAAAAATCAGATTTCAAGTCTAAATCCAGGACTGAAATACACCTCGTGACAGACCGATTCTTTGTGTCAGTCGTGTCACATGACAGCGCAGGTCGACCTCACTTACTCGGTCCCCTCACCAGCACCTTCAGCTCTCCGCTGCCGGCCCCTCTGGTGAAGACCCTGAAGTCGGCCACCTCCTTCACCCTCACGCCCTTGGGCTGCAGGCCCCGCCCGGTCGCCCGGCAGGCGTTGGGATTGCTGGCTGAACAGGGAGGGAGGGAAAAGCTGTTAGATCACATCCTGATAGGTCCAGTACACAGGTAAAGTCACACTTTGTAAAAAATAAATAAATGGTGGTGCCTTTTGCTACTTCAGCATGTTCCAAGTTGTCAAATGAACAAAATTCAAGTCGATGGCCGATCCTATGAGGAAAAGTGCACTATTTTATGTTCAGTCCCATCCACACATCCATTATCAGAGCCCGGGTTTTGCCAGTCAGGGTCACGGGAGCCTATCCCAGCCAGGGGCAAAAGGGTGGCGGCGTAGTCAAGTGGTATGTTGCTTGACTACTGATCAAAAAGTCATTGGTTCAAGCCCTTGATGGGGCCTGGGATTCTGGCTTGATCTGGACAGCGGAAGTGGGGAAAAACTCTGCTGTTGGGCCCTTGAGCAAGGCCCTCAACCTCAAAACCACTCCAGGGGCTGTACCCCTGTTTCCCACTGTCCCTCCTCACTTTCAACTGTTCTGTCCGGAATTTAGGGAAAATCAAGGGTTTGCAGTACAATGGCAATATTTTGAGATTTTTACTCTCCTATAACAGCTTTATACCAGCTAATTCTTGGATCACAATAACTATATGTCCCCTAGCCTTAGTTTTAAGCAGAGTTCACGTTTTCATTTTGTAGTATGTCCAACAAATTCTGCTTAATGGAATTATCTATTACCGCGTATTTTGGCACTTATTTCCTAGTTCTGGACTTGTAAACTATGTCTGCATCAAAAATTCCCATAAAAATACACAAAGTAGTAATTTTAGGCATGTTTTCTGATGATTTTCAGCCAGTTTTTGCCCCGCCCACAATTAGGTCCAAAATCAGCGTTATTGACACATCAACCTGCTGACGTCATCTGAAGAACGACGCCAGCTCAGTCGAGCTAGTTTTTCCATACTGCTTATGCTGTACAAACTGCAGAAGGTTAATAAAATCGTTATTTTCTCACGAAATTTGGGGAAACAGGGGAGCAAATGCCTACCAGATGCATTGTGGCAGGTTGTAGTAATACAAACAAAGGAGTCAGCCTTCATAAATTTCCAAAAGACGAAAAAATAAGTAAAATTTGGGTGTCTCGGGTGAAACTGACTCGCGCAAAATGGCAAAAACCAAGCGACAGAAGCGTAATTTGTAGCAACCACTTCAACGATTCCGACTTCGAGGATGAAGGGTTTTGGTCAGAGCTCAGGATGAAAAAGTTGAAAAAAATCAAGCCAGATGCTATCTCGAAAATCAAAAGTATTTTCGAGGAGAGAAGCACCGAGGAAAAGGGGAGAAAGAAGAACAGAATGGGCACTGAAAAACGGAAGAAAATGAACGTAGGCCGCTAGTGAACAATTGTAACGTGCGTTAACTACACCAAGCGCTTCAGCAGGGCTTTCGTTATAGAGCACCGCCGGTAGAGAGGCTGGCTGCGGCTAGCACTTAGCAGGCCTTGCCTTGCATTCCACACGTTTTACGCCTTCTCTTCGCCAGCGCTCTAGCAGGGCTTTGCTGAAGCACACCGCCGATTCTTCCCCCAGGCTGCTGCTGCGCGTCTAGTTGCATGCTGCCGCTGTGTCTCGACTCTTGTCTCGTGTTCTAATGTTTTTCTCTTTGTCAGATCTTTGTCAGTCTGTCTTCCATTTTAAGAAAACTTTACTTCAACCTATTATCATTGTGTTATGTCACATCAAGTGCTTGAATTGTTGGAGCACGGAGGTGACATGTCAATTTTTGGCAATTTTTGCCATGATGTCACGGTTCCACACCTATGAAAACTTCTGTGTTCAATATACTTCTGAACCATGCAGCAAAAGAGTGACTGATGTAAAAATGATATAAAATACCTGATTTAATAGAGCACTTGCAAACCTAAAAATCAATTTTTCTCAAAACCGCTAAAATGGACTTATAACTATTGTGCTGTGACCCCTCAATATGTTCTCAGTGGACTTTCCCTTGTAAAATTTAAAAAATAAATAAAAATGCCAGCTGTATACAGTTCACAAATTCACTGCACATGATTTTTTGTCAAAAATGACAACTTCAAACAAATTTAAATAGCAATAGGCACAACCATGTTTTGAAGTGCGTTAGCCAGAGCTCAATGTTAGTGACAGACGTGGGGAAATATTTGCACTTTCTGCCAGAGTGAAGTAACTGGAGGGAAAGAATTCTTCATAAAACAACAAAAAAAGATTAATAATGAAGGACATAAGAGGTAAAATAGGCATAAAATGCTCAGCGATGCTTATGTCTTGCTAGGTTCCCACTATCACGATTCGCAGCACGATTGAAATCGTGGTCTTAATTGTGGAGTAATCGTGGTGATCCTATCAGATCTTGAGGTCAGTCGTGGCAATCGTGTTGATCGTAGACAAGTTTTGGACGGTTCAAAAATTTCCTACGATCAACACGATAAATTGTCAATTGTGATCATCGCATCACCTCGTATCCAAACATGAAATTTTAAGCCCCTTTCACACTGGGCCTTGAAACAAATTTTCATTCACGACAGATTATTGATTTGAATGTCAATGCAAAAGAAAAATTCGCGTCTTTGCGTCTTTGTGAAAGCAGCTTCAGAGAAGCTCCACGAGCAGCTACGAATGGCCAATCGTGGCGTTCGTAACGGAGCGCATGACAGTGGGAACTAAGCATAAGGCATTGTGCTGTAAAATACAAAGCTGATATTGCACAAGGACAGACACAAAAAGCCTCGAAAGCTGGACGATCTTGCATCCAATCACTCAATGCCACAACACAATTACAAATATGTCATCAATTAACAATTCAGCTGTTTGAAATTCATTTTTCATGCCAGCACAGTGGATTCTAGATTTATTGTGAACTTATTTCTAAACATTTCTAAGGACATTGCAGTGTACAATCACTGTTGGAATTCACAGCCTAACTAATGTTCAGTAAGTAAACTCAAATAAATGCCTTGAGCCATACCTATGAACCTTTTCAGGGCAACGTAATAAAGGTCAGACAGCTGCAATTTACTGCAGGCCTTTGAGGCTGCTAGCCATTAATGAGACTAAGAGAAGGGAAACAGGCAGTGTTTTCCATCTGGAGAAATGTGTTAGCCTAGGGAATGAGGGTAATTAACTTCAGCTCACTCGTGATTTCCACAGTAATGCAGCCAGCCTGGCCACTACAAAACCAACACAAATCAACCGCCTTCCTCTCCGATAAGAGATAGGGGTCAGTTTTATGCTATTCAATTTGCGACCCTGAGTTCAAATTATGTTTGAACATGACTAGCGCACGCAGAAAGAGTTAGCAAGCTCCATGAGCACACAGAATTACTTTTGCAGATAAGCTGCCCTTGAATTGGTTACGACAACATTATCTTGACTACAACTGACAAAAAAACTGCAGTGAGTTTCAAGCAGAATACAGGTTAAACATGAACAGGTCAGAGAGAATCCGACAGGCTGAACAGATCACACGGCAATCGCTTCAGCACCAAGAGGACGAGAAGATAAACGATGATAGTCACGAGCTCTGTCTTTCAACCTCATATATCTAAACAGCCACACTGATCAACACTCTCACCAAGTGATGCACATGCAAAACACTGAAACACGTCTTGCGTTCCAGACTAGATAAGCTTCAAGACACATCTGTTGTTTTGATAAATTCCGCACAAACTCTGAAATAATGTGTCAAAATTTGGCCGTCACACATTCTGAATTAATGATCAATTTTAAGTGAAAACAGAAGTTAAATAAAACAGGTGGGTGCATACTGGAGCATCGACGGAACATGCTGGCAGTCAACCAAGCAACATAAATCAGCAACGTTTATTTACGAAGCCTTTAAAAATGTTGTCTCCCTCTTGAAAATGTGAGGATGAAACTGAAAGTCCCACAGATACAGGGCAGTAAGAATACAGAATACGTCCTTGTGCTTCAAGCAATCGTTAGGACGACCTTTCACCGCGGCCAAAAAACTGTGGCCAGGTTTTTAAGATAGAGGATGACGATTCTCAGTCGGCCTCTGCCCACAGGAAGCTGCTAGGAGCCGGACAAGAGAAGGCAAGATGCCAGCGCATGCCAACATGCCAGGGCGGTGCTGGGGGGCAGGGTCGCCCTAGTTTTGGGGTGAGCGGACGTGCAGGTTGGCAGTAGCCAGGCTAGCGTATGCAGGCACGAGCCGCGACCCCGAGGCCTGTACTAACTTGGTCGCCTGGGCTTAGGCGGTGTTGGGGGCGGAACTTTCTTGGTCTTTTCGGATGGTGGGGTGCGAATAGACTGGGGGATTATGTGAACCGGAGTACCAGAGGGCACGGCACTAGGCGGGGCTAGAATGACAGACAGGTAGAGAACAGGGAACATGGTTTTTACACAGACATGGGCTGAGTGGCTGGGAGGAGCATCAGATTTAGCCAGGGCTGCACCAGGTGGGAGTCAGTAATCAACCTGCTGCGAGAATGGGCCTCAATAATTCAGGAAGAGCTGTACACGCCCAGCCATGAGCTGTAAAGAAATTATCCAACCCCAGCTCCACAGGCTGATGGAAAGTGAGTTTTACTGCCAGCAGTTGCAGTTCTATCAAAACTAATGTGAAAATTTATTAGTTCACTTTGAAATCAGTGCCAAGAAAAATCACCAAGGGAGCAATTGATTATAGCCCATAAAAGTATGCTTCCATTTTGGCCAGTACCTTGACATTTTAAGAGGTGAATGTATCAAAACAAAATATGATTCCCTAATTTCTGGTGGACTAGACATATGTTTATTCCATAAATCTGTTTCCATAAATTAACCTTCGTGCTGTCACATTGCTCCGTTATATAGCCATGTAAATAAAAAATTGTTGGTTAGCATCCTTCACATTTCAATTTGCATGGGCAGGCAGGATGTTTTTTTTTTATTTTATAAAAAGAGTTTGAGATGTAAATAGCACAACAAATCTAAATCACAAGTACAAGTATTCACACAAAGAATCAAATCTGCCTAATCCATAAGTGGCTCAGTAATTGAAAGCCGAACAGATCATCTGCTGCATATGGACAGGTACTCTGAGCATTTTTCTCACTTAATTTTTGTCGCAACTTAACGGGTTATTTCAAAATTGTAAAAAATTATATAAAATTCTGATGCAGGTGAGGATGCAAACCAACACATTTTTTAAATGGCCTAATGTTATTTCCAGACTGAAGGGAATGTTTCAGCAGAGTAAAGTACAGTATTAAGCAAACAAAGCTAAATATTAATGAAAACATAGCACTTCCTTCAACATCAGATACACAGGACACCAGATACAGTGCAACTCTATTGGGTGTCAGAACTCCACCCTGAAACCCATTCATTAGTTTAATGAAAATGAAAAGGTGAAGAGAA